AACCCTAAACCCCAAATCTCAAACCCTAAACGTTTGATTGATTATAAAACAAATCTTAGTCATTGTACCAAATATCATATATACAAAATATAAACTACTCAACATTAAATATGCAATTTTGAATCATTAAAACAAAATAATTATAAATCTAGAATCTAACCCTAAGAATCTAACTCTAAAAGACATAACATGTTAGAACATTTGGTTGCTAAACCATTAACATTGTGTACCACATAGTTCCCAAATCAGTATACATTCTTTAAAATTGTTCAATTATAAGAAAATTTAATTTATCTACCTCATACTAACCTTTAAATTGATGATTTATTAAAAAAATTACCAAAAACATTTTTTCTACATTTTTAAATTAAATTATTTGATTAAATTAAGATGTAGACTNTCTTTAAAATTGTTCAATTATAAGAAAATTTAATTTATCTACCTCATACTAACCTTTAAATTGATGATTTATTAAAAAAATTACCAAAAACATTTTTTCTACATTTTTAAATTAAATTATTTGATTAAATTAAGATGTAGACTAAATAATAAGTCTACATTAGTTTACACAGTAGACGTTAATGTAAGTCTACCTAGTTATAGACTTCTTTCTTAAAGTGTAGACCTACGAAGGACAGAATCGTAAAATATACTACACATTTTTTGTTTGTTCATAAGGGTTAAATAGTAGTTTTAACACCCCTTTAGGTTGGGTTTGCAATTGATTGAATAAGGGGTGCACCTTTAGGATTAAAATAAATATTTGGGTTGGTTTTGGCAAATCCCCCAAGTTTATCTTACATGATTCATGATGGCTCAACCATCTTTGGGTCGGACGACAAACTTTTTTGATATTCACTTTTTCCTTTATTAACCTTTTTTACCCACGTATAAATTATCGAACTTTTGATTAATTTAATGAGATTTCAGCAAAAAACTTATATGATTCTCCCGAAACCGATTCTCTTTATAATACTATGTTTTTTTCTACGTAAATCACCATATATCCTCCTTTTCTTTGGTTAATGGTTTTATATGAATTAAGTTGATGCTTACTTTTCTTACTTTGGTCTTTAGGTTTACTAGTGGGACACTGAATAAGAAAGATCGACGAGAGCCAAATTTCAAAACATCGAAATCATTTCTTTTTCATAGACAGAAAGATGGTGGCGATGGCCATAATTCTAGGATGGTCAAAATTAAAAATTCCATGCATGTGTTGTTATAACTTATAATCATTATTTTATATTTTTGTTTTTGGGCTTTTCTTAACGTCAAAATGTTACGTAAATAATTTACAAAAAAATTACGTATAAGTCATTACATTTAATTACTTTCTGTTTTTTTTTTCTTTACAACGTGACTATTTTATTAGCGTTTACATGTTCCAAACCAATAATATTAATTAAATAAAGCTGGACATGGTGGTGGTCGAGTGTACAACACATTATCGATAAGGTGGAACGTTACACAAGCCGAAATCAGTGTTTAGTTTAATAATTTATTAATTCGCTTATGGGTAATATTAGGCTGAAAAGATTGTTTACAACACACTTTTAATTAGCTTGAAGTATTCATAATATACTAAACTACAAAAGCATTAAAAGGGTTTATAAGAAATTAAAGATGAGTTTAAAGGGTTGGGATTGGATGCTGGTCCCCTTTTCTTTTTCTTAAACTTTTTATTTGGTTATATTTTATCTTCAACTTTTTTGCTACTTCCACTTATCGAATGTGGAAATATATTGTAGGAAATAAATGAAGAAACTATGGTGTACATAAGATCTATAATGCGCTACCAATGGACATCATCTGCTTTCAATATCGCTTGCTCTATCACTAGTATAAAGCTATGAGTATAATAACCATTTATCTATGAACATATATAACAGAAAGTATATAAATAAATAATCTAGTTTAAAGTACTCTCAACTTTTTTAGCGAATTCTTGGATTTTCAGATCAACAACTTTACTAGAGCTATATGCAACGTATTATTTGGAGTTTTTGATTGTTGTGTATAACGTTGTTGTTTTGTATCCATAGAGTTCACGAGTGACCATTAACATATATATATACTATAAAAAAAAAAGAAATCATATGCGATTGTGTATTCACGCCCGGCGATAAGGTAGAAAAATCTTATGTACAGCACCACATTGATCCTGATCTAGTAAAGCTGAAAGTGAAAGAAAATTCCTACGAATAAGATTTCATCATTTTTCTTTGACTTCTTAAGAAGTAACTCATATGATAAAAGCGAAATCATAGTGTAAATAGGGCAAAGCTTGTGTGTAAGTTGTAATTTTTTTTGTTACTTTAACTAACGAATAATTGAAAAAGAATATATGTTTAAACTGAGACAGCTTGACAAAAGTTGCGGAGGTTTGGGTTGGGGTGTAGCGAGAAAAGAGCAAGTAAAGACTTTACAATGATGATAACCACGCTCCCATTATTTCCATCAACAGAGCATCCTCTAAAGTTATTTTCCAAATTTATATGTACAAAGTTTATAACTATTCGTGGCCTTTTCCAGTACAAGCAAATATCGTACTTTCAAGATTAAAACACTCAGCATCTCTGTAGCAAATGCTCAGTATTGTAAGCAAAAATACATAAGTGATAAAATATTTTGCCAGGATGGTATATTACCTATTGAAGCGATAAATTTTCATGCTGAATGGATGAATAACATTTTTCAAGTAACATACATGATTTTGTAGGTACATATGAGTCGATGAAAATATGTTTTGCATATACATTTTTACTGTAGCTAGTGCATTTGCAATCATGGTTTATACAATTTCACATCATTATTTACGTCCAAAAGAGGACCCAATTACTTTAGACAAACATTTTTTAGTCCAATTTAATACCTCTTTTCTTCCAGATTTGATTGTGAAGTTTGACATTATGTCTTCATGACCGACCATTGTCGTATAAGATATGTGCCGTGACATAAAATAAATATTTGTCAATGATTAAAAATAACAAAAACACCACTTAGAAAATTTAGCTTTGTAAATATTGTACACAGAATCCCGAGAATTTGGATATTAATTTCATTACATCAAATACAAATCCAAGAGATCCAATTCCGAAACACAAATCTTAGTCTCCTTAAAGAAGTAGTATCATTTAATAATGTTAGGCCATGTTAATCTGGAACTTCTTAGTAGCTAAAGTAAACCTCGTGGTATATGGTAGAAATCGTGTATTGAAGCTATCTTGTTAAACAGTATTTAATTTGATATGTCAACATATGTTCGATCTTTACCCAAAAACATATGTTCGATTATGCATTACTTGCATGATTGATGTACCGTTTGGTAAGCAATAATGTTTTTTTTTGCTGGACGACTCAACGTTGCTTGTAATCAAGGGTTATCCAAGACGGGCCTTAATGGCAACATCCTCAACAATTTTTAATTGGAGATAATTTATCAATCACTAAAATAAATCATTTGACTAACTATTATTAAACCATAATACAATCCGATTAATCAGACTATACAAAAAAAAAAATGTTGAAAATATAATAGGACGGTACGAGAAATAACATATCTATCTGTAGTTCTTATATCATAAAATATTTTATAAATTTCTTTTAAATTTATCAGAAGAGAAGTTTTTTTGGGGGGTTTTGTACTGTTGAAAAATGTGGTTGATTATGAATTTTATTGAAGTAATTGGAGGAAATTTCCAACTCAATGATTTAAACTGAGCCTAATAATATTTTAACAGTTTCTTTGGCGCGACATTGTTCAATACAATGACAACAATTCCTTTCCGTGTCCGTATGATTATAATCTTTAATCATATTTGTATCTCCCCTATAATTGAGTTTAATAACGTACTTAATTAATGCGATCGTTGTTAATCTCTCCGCCACATATTAAGACACTATATAAATACGGTCACTCATTAATGTTCTGTAATAGAATCGACCAGCCTCTCTCTCTCTTCCTCATTATTCAAACTATGGAGATGAACGGCGATCAACCGCCGCTGATCTGGCCGCAGTTTGAGTCCAACGGATACACTCGCCGGCGATCACCGACTCCGACGATGTTCGTTCCAGCGATGATCGGAATGATTTCAGCTGCTATTTTTCTTCTGTTCATGACCTTCGTCGTCCCTCCGTTTCTCTCAGTCACATCTCAGATTCTTCAGCCAGCTTCGGTGAAGAGAGGATGGGACTCGATCAACGTAGTCTTAGTAGTTTTCGCGATCCTCTGCGGAGTACTCGCTAGACGAAACGACGACGTATCGTCTCCCTCTTCACACGGCCAAGAAGAAGAAGAAATTGTCACGAGCCGTGAAGATATTAAAAACTCTACTTCCTCGCCTGAGATTTCGCATGAGTGGTTCGATGATGACGTGTATAACGCTGATAGGCTAAAGATCTACGAGAGTTTTAGTAACCGGAGCTTCTCGCCTAGTTTACCGGTTACCCGAACCGTACCGTTAAGGCGTAGCAGTACGTCGTATCCTGATTTAAGAAACGGAGTTCTCAGGGAGAGTGATGACCGGCGTTTCCGGTTCTACGATGATTTCGAAATCGATAAGTACCGATCGCAATCAACGGTGGTGATTGACGAACAACTTCAGAGTCTTCCTAAAACTGAAATCGAAGAAACTGAACCTAAGGAGATTCAAGTAGATAAGTTCATTGTAAGGCCGTCTTCTCCTCCGCCGCAACAACCATCACAACCACCACTACCTCCTCAACCGTCGCCCGTTGAAGTAGTGCAGAAGCCGAGAAGGACTCATCGTTCTGTTAGAAACAGAGAAACGCAAGAAAAGCCGAGACGAAGTGAGACTAACTCTGATTCCACCAGATTTAAACGAACGTTGCGACCTCCTCCTTCACCTCCTCCGCCTCCACCTCCTCCACCGCCTCCGCTTATAACCGCCACGCCACCGAGGACTCTTCAGCGAAGAAAGAGCAATGCGGCTAAAGAGATCAAAATGGTTTTTGCTTCACTGTATAACCAAGGGAAGAGGAAGAAGAAGAAGCTTCAGAAACATAAGAGAAAAGAAGAAACTGAATCTCCGGCGACGGAACCGCCGCAATATCGATCGTCAATTCCACCACCGTCTCCGCCGCCACCTCCACCACCTCCACCTCCGCCGCCACGATCGTCACAGTCAGTGTTCTACGGACTGTTCAAGAAGGGAGTGAAGAGCAAAAAGATTCACTCCATTCCGGCGCCGCCGCCACCTCCGCCGCCGAGGATGTCACCGTTGGCTCCTCAGACACCACCGCGGAGAGCGAAATCCGGTAGACCTCCGCGTCCGACGAAACCGACAAACGAAGAGAGCTACCAAAGATCTCCGTTGATCCAAACTACGCCGCCTCCACCTCCTCCGCCTCCGTTTCGGGTCCCGCCGATAAAGTTCGTGGTGAGTGGTGACTTCGCGAAGATACGGAGTAATCAGAGCTCAAGGTGTAGCTCACCTGAGCGAGAAGTGATTGATGTTGGCTGGGGTCTTGAACTTACACAATCTGTCGGTGGAGATGATAACAACGCCGCCGTAAGTACTGGTGGTGGTGGTGCCGGGACGGGGTTCTGCCCTAGCCCGGACGTTAACACGAAAGCTGACAACTTCATCGCCAGGCTAAGAGACGAGTGGAGGCTCGATAAGATCAACTCTGTGAAAGGGAAAAGGAACATGAGCTCCTCCGTGTAAAGGACCATTATGAAAACGGCCTAGTTTTTTCTCCTTTTCATATTTTGCCTGCCCTACAAGCAACGTAATAGCATCATAAAACAAAATATCTTCAAGCAAAGCAAATGGGTAAATGTTCATATGGCAGAGACGATTGTTCGAATTTGAAGTTCCGGGTAATATTGGTATTACCGGTAAAGTATATAGCCTAGAACCGGCTGGTACTTTTTTAGTTTAACCGATGGTGGGCCTTTTGTTTGGTGTGTTTCTTTCTTTTAAATCTCGGTTTGGAGTTTCCGATAAAAAGAAATTGAGATGACTTGGTGGTGTTAGAAATGTTAGTAGGTGATATTGATGTATGTATGGCCCAGTTATATGGATATACAGTTGTGGGCTCTTAGTTTTGTTGGGCCTACCTATTGTGATCTTTTACCTCTCTTACATTGAAAATGTTTTTTAAATATTGTTATTTTTCACGATATGCTTGTACTAGGTATTTTTTTAATTTTTGGAATTTGATTCCTCTTGGAATTTGTACTAGCTTCTGCAAGGGTTTCTTGGTAGAAGCTCATGCTACCAAGAAATGCAGAAGGGTTAGGTTTCAGGGAGATATAACAATTTAACGATACCTTGCTGGCCAAACTAGCTTGGAGAATACTAAAGTATCCATAATCCTTACTCGCGCTGACACTCACTAGAAAGTATTGTCATTCAAATGAGTTCCTAAAGGTGATTACTCCTCAAAACGCTTCACACGGATGGAAAAGTGTAATGGCTGGCAAGGAGGTTCTCTTGAAAGGTTTAGACAGAGTTGAGGGTACTGGGGCCAAGATCAAGGTATGGTCAGAACCTTGGTTTGCTACAAACAAACCCATGATTCCAATATGACCTCCAACGGAAGCTAATAAGATATGGTGGTATCGGACCTCATTGATATCCAATTAATGGAATGGAATCTGGAAGCTATAAGAGAAAATGTACCTCAGTTGGAGGATCAAATCCGTTCCATACCCCTTAGCAAATTTGCAATGGAAGATGAGCAAGTGTGGCTCCTTGATAAATCAGGTAATTATTCAACTAAAACAGGGTATGCTCTCTGCAAGATAAATGTTGGGGAACCAGATTTGAACTTCAATTGGAAAAAAGTTGGTATGGGGAGTTAGTACTACACTTAAACTTAGACATTTCCTCTGGAAAATTAAGAATAATGCCCTGGCTTTGGGGGATAACTTGTTGAGAAGGGAAATCGAAGTTGATGGTCACTGCAAAAGATGTGGGATACTAGAAACAGAGCGGCACCTGTTCTTTCAATATACTTTTGCTTCCAGAGTCTGGGACCTGATCCCGGTAATGGGCAAACCGAACCCCAATTCCATCTCTATCCCAAGTTCTATGCTTATAGCGTGTGACCGCATTACCAACTTACCTCCTACAGGACTTCACGCTACAGATCTATATCCATGGGTCCTTTGGTACCTACAGACTGCTAGAAATAAACTGTTGTTTGAGAACTTGATATTGTTTGAGCATGATATAGCTATTGCAGCCTGCAGGGAAGCCAGAATGTGGCAAATTGCTCAGGATGTAGCAACAAAGTCGCCGCCAGCAGTAGCACCGAGTAACATAGTACCACGGCTGTGTGGACAAGAACAAACTGATCACTGTTTTGTTGATGCTGCTTGGAACGCAACCACACGAGGAGGTGGCTTTGGTTGCATTTTCAAAGACCCTTCCAACAATAACACCTTTCACCAACTATCTACAAACCGTTGCATCGTGGGCTCTGCTTTTATAGCAGAAGCTTTAGCGGTTAAGGATGCCCTTCTGGAGGCCATCGACTTGGTACTAGGAACGCTGACCATATGGTCGGCTTCACAGGCTCTAATCAACATCATTTCGTCGAAGAAGAAGTCTGTTGAAGCTCAAGGAATTTTATTCGATATTGAACACCTTTCTTCTTTGTTCTCTAGTATTTATTTTCGTCATGTTCCTAGACTAAACAATGCCGAAGCGGATGCTCTGGCTAAGCTAGGCCTGTGTAACCTCATTAACTCTGTTTGAGTATAATCTAAATTGATGGTTTGTTCAAAAACAAAATGGCATATGGTGAAGAAGAAACATATTGGTATCTTAAAAGTAGATATAACTGGTTAAGTTGTAGTGAGGGCAATACAAAATTTTATCACGCAACAACTAAAACACGTTTTGCTCAGAATAAGATCCACTCAGTTCAAGATTCAAATGGGGTTTGTATACAAGGGAGATGCGGCTATTGGACGCCATGCTTAATGTTTTTTTCAAAGAAGAGTATTGTAAAGGGAACACTACACTCATGCCTTCTGTTTTCAAAGATTTCAAACCAACGGTGACTACTGCTATCAATGAAGAAATTACTAGGGATATTACTAACGAAGAAATCTATGCTGCTCTTTCTCATATTGGTGCTGACAAAGTTCCTGGTCCGGATGGGTTAACGGCTCGGTTCTATCAAGAATGCTGGGATATAGTAAGAGAAGCAACTTGTGTGGAAGTTAAACACATTTTGCAACAGGAAAATTATCATCAGGAATCATTCATACAAACATTTGTATGATACCAAAAATTAGATGTCTTCAAAAACTGTCTGAATTTCGGCCCATTGCTTTGTGCAATGTTCTCCATAAAATTATAAGTAAGATTTTGGTCCATCGGCTGAAGTCTACTCTTGACAAAATTGTTTCAGATTCACAAGCAGCTTTCATTCATGGTCGTTTAATAAATGATAATGTTTTAGTAGCCCATGAACTTATGCACTCCCTTAAAATCAAGAAAGAGAGTGTCACAAACATATATGGCAGTTAAAACTGACATAACAAAAGCTTATGATCGTGTAGATTAGAATTTCCTTGAAGGAACCTTACGTGCTTTTGGATTATCGGAAAAATGGATAACATGGGTCATGACTCTCGTCACAACAGTTGAATATTCAGTGCTTATTAATGGAGTTCCTATAGGCTATATTATACCACAACGTGGATTACGACAAGGGGATCCTTTATCTCCGTATCTTTATATTCTCTGTGCTGATATTTTGAGTCATCTCATTGATGTTCAAGTTAGGCAGAAAAAATAAATGGTATCCGAGTTGGTAATGGTGCTCCGTCAATCACTCATTTGTTCTTTGCGGATGACTCGCTTTTTTTCTGCATTGCTAATCAAAAAAACTGCAAGGCTTTAAAAGAAGTGTTTGATATCTATGAAACTGTCACTACAAGAAAAATGGGTTTTGATAGCGGTGAAGGATAACGTTTTTTGTCTTTCTGCTGTGGTTGACATACGCGTTAGTTTTAGATAGCGTTTGTATATTCAGAAACGTTATGATAGAATTGTATATTTAAAAACGCTATGATAACGTATTTCTAATAGCACATTATTAAAAACGCTATCTTTAACTTTTTAAATCTCTAAACCCTAAACAAGTTTTTAAACCCTAAACTTTAAACATAACTTCAAAATCTAACTATTTTAATATTAATTCTTAAACTTAACATCAAATATTAAATATAAACTCAAACACTATTTCTTTTTCAATAATTAATCTTAAATCATAATACCCTAAACCTTTAACCCTCAAACCCTATACTCAAACCTTATTCTAAACTCATAACTTTAAATCTAAAATCTAAATTGAATATAAAATCAAACTTAAATTTAATTCTTCAAATAAATTCAAATTTATTTTCGAATTTTAACTTAAAATCATAACCATGAACTCTAAACCTTATATACTCAAATCTTATCTATCATAATAAAACTCAAACCTTCAATTTACACATTTAATTATTAAACCGAATCATAATTACAAATCTAATATTCTCATAGTTAAACACCAAACTTTGAGCATACATTTTTAAAACTTTAATATGTTCAAATTTTAAACCT